TTAAAAAAATTTTATTACTAACTATTGAATTTGAACAAGGATAGGTTTGTTGCAAAATAAGTTCCGGGTTTAATACTTGAATATGTTTGGTTCTTGGGTTGTGTTTGGTAATAAGTTTTGGTTTATAGATCGTAGATTGTATTAATGAGTCTGGGTTTATTAATAAAGAATACCACTTTATATATTTGAAATAATGATATTATTAAAGCGACTGAATTCTTTTGTTAATTATCACGAGTGATCACGGGTAGATCCATAAAAATTAGCCAATCAAACAACAAACCACAAATTATATTTGTTCTTTATAACGATAACGTGCACTTTAAGGTAACAATGTCTTTTTTTTTTTTTTTTTTTAATGTCTGGAGCGCAGCAGGGACTCAACGTGACACCAAAATTCCGTTTTTGATTTATTGCATATATATGCGAAGAAAATTCAAAGTTACGTTTTTGATGTTTTAACAATAATGCTCATTGACCGTAATACCAAAGTTTACGCCACACACATAGAATACAAGGCGCAGCAATATATATTTATTCGTTATTAACCCTGAAACTAAATGTACAATGTCTGGTCAACGATCGCCGAATATTCCACTCTTTCTTTCTGACGCTCAGAATTTGGATCAGGCAACTTTGTCTGCCAAGTTTCGTCTTATTTCTATTGCTGAACTTGAGCGATGTCGTCGTGCCAACGAACCCACCGACAGATTCAGTATGACGGAGGCCCTCACGAATGCGTCAATGGAGTGTAATAGATATACTGATATTGTACCTTTCAACTATAATCGAGTAAAATTAATAAAGCAACGCCCAAACAAAACAGACTATATTAATGCAAGTTACGTTGAGGCACCTGGTAAAGTTCGGCGATATATTGCTACACAAGGTCCGTTAGACAATACTATTGATGATTTTTGGCTAATGGTATGGGAGCAATATTCGACTGTAATAGTCATGTTAACACGAGAGCAAGAAAAAGGTAGAAATAAGTGTTCTAAATATTGGCCCGATGAAGGAAATCTTCCCATGGTATTTCCAGATATCGGACTGAAAATTGGATTAGAATCTGAGGAATTGGATCCGAATGCAACATGTGTTGTGAGAACTTTTCGAGTCGAAAAGTTTGAGGATGCACATGTTATTGAAGTGCGACAAATCACGCAACTTCATTTCATAGGGTGGCCCGATCAGGGAGTTCCTGATTCCCCAGATAATGTCCTCAATTTGGTCGTTAAGACAAATGAAATTCAGCGACGATATATAGATGATGCTAACTTGCAACAAACTAAAATTGGACCAGTCGTGGTACACTGTAGTGCTGGTTGCGGAAGGACAGGGACTTTTTGTACTGTGGATTCTACGTTAGCATTATTGCCTGAATTTCAGCCCGACGACAAATCAGATTTGATTTACAATTTGGTTGGGCATTTTCGAGAACAACGTAGGACTATGGTTCAAACTCTTGGACAATTTCAATACTGTTATTTGGCTGTACTTAGTAAACTTGTCACGAATCGGTAGAAAATGTCAAGAATAGAGTTAGAACCGGGTTATAGTAAGCCGGGTCACCCGTGTCAAAATGATTCAACCTGGTCAAAAATTTACAATTCGGGTCAAAACGGTTGAATATGTAACCTCTAAAAATCTGTTACTATTACACAGAAAACATAACAAAATTTAACACATTATTATTGTATTGTGAATAAACACCCTTTTTTTCTTACTAATTTATCTAAATATTCAATCTCGCTGATCTGGATTTTAAAAAAAAGTTACAACCTTTTGGAGGTTACTATACGGACTATCTATTGCAAAAATTTTGTTAAAAATTTTTTTTCTTTGTATAGACTTTCATTATTATTTTCTTTGCTTTGCTAATACAGTATACTCTCCCAAATCCGATATGCATGGTGGACAGCTTTTGTATCAGGTTGTCGGATTTAAAATATTAATGGCACACTGGTCACATGATTATAAACAAGTATAATTGGCTAGATAATATTTATTATATGCTAGGAAAATCACCTCCGACATTTTCCGATTGGGCTAATTCGGACCATTTTAAACTAACATATCTAATCCCGGCATGTAAATCATTTTTTGCTCTTATCGAATGAATATTTGAATCAATAAAGGCAAAAATAATTTACATATAAATAAGTACCAGTATATTGGTTTGAATTTGTTTAAATTAGCCTGATTGGAAAATATTAGAGTAATTTTTTTAGCAAAGATTTTATTTTTTATTTTTTATTTTTTTTAATCTTCAAAGCAAAGATTTTATATATACTACAGTTAGAAAATATAATATACTACACAATTACTCTGTTACAATTCAACTCTGGTCATCCTCTTACAAAACTGAACTACTTGCAATTCTTTCTGTAATTTGTACATGTCCACGAAACAGTAGTATTACCATCTACACTGACTCACAATCTATAATATCTAAGTATAACAAACTTATTCAACAACTATCTAGACCAAATAAACAATATTCATATAACTACTGGCCAATTTGACATATACTACTAAATTTCATTAAATCTTACAGACTAAAAATTAAACTTTAAAAAATCACAGCACATAGTAATAATACATTCAATGATTTAGCAGATAGTCTAGCTAAAAACCAGAATTATATAACTGATCTTGTATTTTTACACAACAATATTTACAATCCATCTTACTATTTACAATATACAACTTATACATTCGAGCAACCAACTCATAGATCTATTAAAAACATTTGTAATAGTCACATAATAGCATTATGGTCTTCACAACACCGAATGGAAAACATTATACTTTTTGCAATACAAATTGATTGGAATGTCACCTGGTTTTATTTAAACAATAATCACAAAAATCGTCCTCCTATACCAACTTCAAACTTTGCCAAAAAAAAATCTTCGAAATCAAACTTATGTTTAATATACTACCCACACTATCAAACCTACATACTCTATATCCTCAACACTTCTCAGATATTAACTG